CTGTGTGATGCCATCATGTCAATATGGACCAAAATCTCTGAGGAATGCTTCCAGCACCTTGTTGAATCTATGCCACGAAGAATTGAGGCAGTTCTGAATGCAAAAGGGAGTCCAACCCGTTACTAGCGTGGTGTACCTAATAAAGTGGCCGGTGAGTGTACATGAATACATGTATTGGGCAACTTACAAGACCATTTGTATTGAAAAGGAGTAGGTTGAAGTAAAAACATATATATGGTTTTATTGTTATCTCAAATCAATGTTTCTGGACATTACTTATAATACCAAAATAACTAAAATAAAAATATTATGTGGGGGAGAAAGTGTCATGTCTAAAAATGATGTGTGGCAATGTAGTAAATACTCAAGCTAAATTCAAAGTGTGGACTGTGAAATTAATTAGAACTCTGAAAAAAAAAACATTTCATTGTTTTAAAAAATTTTTTAACAAAAGGCTTAAAGTATGTTTCGGTGTTTGCGTTCTTGAAACATGTTTTTGTTTGCTCTCCACAGGAGGACCTGGCCAACCTGCAGCCTTTTAGCTCTGTGGAGACTTGGCCAGCCAAAGCACCATCTGATGCTTGGCAGGTTCACCTCGCTGGCATCATTTTTTATTTTATTTTTGTTTAAATATGGCATAAAAGAAAACRAGCTCACTGCACCTGTAGTTTCAGWATGAGACCGTTCCCCGACAKTAACTGGGAACTTTATTGATGACGCTGCTGTTTCGGTTTGAGAAGCGATCCTGGTTTGTTTGACCTTTCCATAGCTTTGACAGCTGACAGTCAAAACTCCAGTAATGGGCTGGGGTTTGCGTCTCTGCGAAGCATCGCTGAGATAAAAGGCCTTCAGCTGTCAAATGTCCTGAGGAGTGCCAATTAGCACAGATACTTTCAGCCTATAATTATTGTATACACATAAACCCTGCAGGCTACATGACAGCCAGTCATTAAAATAATATGTATTTGGAAGTAGATAAGTGCAGGAGAGATTAGTTGTGTGTTGGACAGCTTGCATACGTTGCATAATTTTTCTATCAACAAAACAAACACGTTCTTGCTTTAGATCTGTMATWGGAAGATTGAATAATTTTGTTTTATATATGTAGGAATAATGAGTCAAATAAAACTGAAACTGCCCTTGATAGAATGTGTTTTACCCACTACCTTTCATGCTAAAGTTTTTTTTTTTTAAAAAGATCATCTTACGGTGTGACTGGATGAAGTTGTAGCCATTTTGGTTGAATCTTGTAAATGATGCATATAGTGTGATCTCAAGACGTATTGCAAGATTTTGCACAATAATTTAGTGCTCAGAGCACATATTTAGCTCTAAATTTGATCAAGTTAGAGTCAATTTTGTGT